AGCGGCGGCGCCCGTGGGGGTGTCTGTAGGGCGGGGCCCGCCTTTGGGTCCTGCATCCTGAGCCCCGTCCGGACCTCAGGTTCACCCACTGCACCTGCCGGGACTGTTTAGTGGCCCCGGTGCGCAGTGATTACAATGCCCGCGCCCCCCGGCCCTTTCCGTCTGGTTGCCCAGCATCTTCTGCTCCAGCCCAGCTAGCATTTTACCCGTCTCTTCTTATGTGACACACAGTTCCGAACCCTCCGGGGGTGTTATCTTAATGATCTTCTCTCTGCCTCCCCACCGCCCATGGACGTGCTCTCAGGAGCCCTGCTTTACAGTCGAGGAAACGGAGGCTGGGGAAAGCTGAGTGAGTTTGCCCCGGGCCTCACAGCTGGAACCATCTGCCGGGGTCGGATGCTAAAGACCGCAGATGCCAATGCTTTCTTAGCGCCGTCACACGTCTCCGTTCCAAGTCGTGAAACGGATCGTTTAAAAAATCGGAATCAGAGGTGGCCCATCTCCAAGGTCCGACTCCCGGCGGGCGCTGGGAGTGTTTGGAACACGAGGGAGGGAGCTGGGCCACCCGGCAGTGCTGTTTTCTAGGCGCATCTTGCTGGGATATATGAAACCCGCTTTCCCTTCTTGGGTCCGCACTGCCACTGCTCTGCCTGGTGGTGTTGGCATGCCTCCTGGCAGGACACTGAAACCACATGTATAGTTAATTGGGTCGATGTGACAGGGTTCAGTGTCTCCAGGGAGGTGTATCGGAACCTTACCTCCGGCAAATGTCTGGTGTGTCTTTCCAGGCCTTTTCTCCCACCTTGAAAAGTGCTTTTTATTTTCTGTTATTCATCCTATACTGGATTTGAAATATTGTGGAATTCTTACCAAAAAAATGGGAACATGAGTGCTTATCCCATCAAAGAAACTTTGAAAGAATATACATATATATATATATATATATACACACACACACACACACACACACACACACATATATAGGATATATATGCATGTTTTTTAAAAACTTTATGAGAAGTTAGTTGTGTAGTACAATTATAAGAGCAGGCCATCAGCTAGGATTTAGGCTACTGTTTTTATTTTCCGGACTTTGTATTTATAATGAGTGTATTTTATTACCATCAGATTTGACCTTTGACTGGTAAATAATGTAACAAAATATTCAAGCTTCGTATTTGACATAGTCACGTTTTCTACTGGACCTAATTATTGAGGACAGAATTCTAGAGATGACTTTTTCTTGGTTTCTTTATCAGTAAACTGATAGCAGGAAGTCATAAACATAACTCTGTCTCAAAAATAGTATGTTTTTGTTCATTTCTTAAAAGAAACACATGTTTACGGAACTAGTGTGATATAATGGATGGTCAGACAGACCTGCAATTAAATCCCAGTTATTCCATTTGTTAGCTGCAGACTTTGAGCAAGTTACTTGACTTCTCCAAGCCTGTGTTGCACTTGCAAAATAGAATGAGTATTTACCTTTCCTGTTTATTATGTAGACTGGAGGTAACATACCTAAAGTTCTTAGTTCATAGGGGAGTTCAGTAAATGTTAGCAGCTCTTAAAATTATATTGATTGTCATTATTGTTTTTATAAAGTGTATGATATTATTAAGCCTGAGAGGCACCTAGCACAATAACTGACATGTAATAATATTTTCTCTGCCATCAATGTAAGTCACTCTTGACTGTTTACAGAAAAAAAAATTTAAAAGACAGGTTCATAAATATTTTGCAACTAGGATATAAAAAATACATTTATTAACTTGAAATTATATGTAATCACTTGATCTGGCATATAATTAACACTTTATTAAAATGGATAATTAAGAGTTCACCCTAAAACCTTAATAAGTTGGATTAATTGGCAGAAGTGGTAATTTAATTAGCAGTTTTCTGGTGTGTGTTTTTTTAATAATTTAATTTAATTTTTTTTAAATTTAAATTCTTTATTGTTTAAAGTATTACATATGTCTCCTTTCCCCCCATTGACCTCTCCCTGGCCGCTCCCACTACCCAGCACATGCCCTCACCCACCCAACTGTCTGTTGGTTTTTTGTTGGTTTGTTTTTAGAATTTTGTTATATTTGAGTAACTCCAGTTACTGTTATTAGTCACTAGTTCTTATTATGCACTGGATCCACCCAACTTTGGCTTTCAGTTTCTATAAAATATTTCCAAATGCCTGTTTTAAGGTATAATTAAATATTGTATGTCAATTATACTTTAAAAGTATAATTAATAGTTTTAGGAGCTGCATTTATTTACTTATAAGCAACAAACTCATTATCTTTGTCTTCTTAAGTTGGTTAAATGAAGATGCTTTACTTTTTTTCATTATTGATTTTTCGAAAGAGAGGAAGGTAGAGAGAGAAAGATTGATCAGTTGCCTCTTGCATGCAACCAGGGATCAAACCCACAATCTAGATATGTGCCCTGACCAGGCATCAAACCCACAACCTTCAGTGCACGGGATGATGCTCCAACCAACTGAGCCATACTGGCCAGGGCAAAATGCAGTACTTTTAATGTTAGGTTAACAAAATCTATCTTCATAGTGCCTAGTTAAAATTGTAAATAATGGTCAAGTAATTATAAATTCTGAATTGCAAAAGTGCAGATTAAGGAGATTCTATTTTTTTTTTTTTTTTTTTTTTTTTGGAGGGAAGGGAACTAATGTTTACATGAAATCTGTAACAGTGTATTTTTCTTAACTTCGCATTTAAAATATTTTGCACTTATGGTCTCCTTCAAATCAAGTATTTCTGCTCTTTTATGAAATTGGTTTAAGCATTTTGTATGTTTAACCGTTGATTTGAACACTTTGCTCCTTTTTGATATTTAGTCATGACTTGCTATTTTTAAGGTTGACTCATTTTCAGTAGCCCTTTTGTACCTTATTGTGTACTTAGGCCCTCTTAATAATATTTGATATTTCCTCTTGTTTTTTACCTAAATGTGTTGATCTTACTTTTTTACACAGACTGCTATAGTGTTTCTGAAAGAATTTGGTAGCTTTTTCTTGCTATATTTGCAGGGCTGTCTCATTACAGCTTCTTTCCCATTTTGTTCCCCCTGTCTTCTCTGCACACCCATCTTCTCCTAAGAAATAAGTGGTTCACATTTTAGATTAATTGTCCTTTTAGTCATGATCATTTATTTTGTGTAAATTTCAGGGTTAGAATGGCTGAACACGGAGGGGCCTATTTCTGTTTACAAGGACCTGGGCGGAAAAGTGGTCATCCTTGATTTCTTCACCTACTGCTGCATAAACTGCATTCACCTACTGCCTGATCTCCATGCCTTAGAACACACCTACTCGGATAAAGGTAATTGCCCTTCAGTTGGTTCTAACAGACACAGACACTGGAAGAGTAGCTGACTCATTTCCTCACAGGCGAATGAATGTTTGGCAAGACTTCAGTAATTCTAAAATAATTTCTAATCTATGAATTAAGGACTCCATGTACCTTTTCAGAAGCGTTAAATTTAGTGATACTAGAACCAGCATTTAGTAAATTTAGTATATTTTTCTCTAAGAATAGGACATAATGTACTTTTCTCAGGATCAAGTATTTTAAAAAGTTAATTGTATAAATTAAATGTGTGACTCTGATTTTATACTCTTCTCAAGAACTGTGATAGAAAGGTTTAAAGTTCTTGCCCTAACCGGTTTGGCTCAGTGGATAGAGTGTCAGCCTACGGACTTAAGGGTCCCAGGTTCGATTCCAGTCAAGGGCACATCCCCAGGAGGGAGTGTGCAGGAGGCAGCTGATTGATGTTTCTCTCTCATCAATGTTTCTAACTCTCTATCCCTCTCCCTTCCTCTCTGTAAAAAATCAATAAAATATATATATTTTTAAAAAAGGTTTAAAGTTCTTAATAGGAAATGTGATTATTCTTTTCATTTTGAATGACATGCACATGAACAACAGTGCAATACAGAATACTATAACAGATGCTCTTTCTTTGACCTGCTTTATGAAAAATATCTTCCAAAACACTAGGAAATCCTCTTTTATGGTATTGCAAATTCTGAAGATGTAAGAGATTAATCTTAATATTTACTTTAGAAGTTTGAGATTTTTTTCAGAGACTTTTTTTCCTGTTTACTTTTTCCTAAAAGAGAGCATGGGGGGTAAATGAAACTCAAGGTTCCATTTAATTAGGTTGAAATTAATTGAAGCTCTTCTCTTAATAAAAGATAAAAATGAGAAAGAGTCAATGATCTTGTGAATAAAGATGAGAAGGGAGTATACATGTGCAAGGTGAAGGACATCTTGAAACTTAAAAAACAGGAGTGAAAGATAAAATCTTCAGTGCTAGTGAAGCTTCAGTTGCTTTTAAATTGTAATAGGTTATATCTTCAAATTGCTAAACAATGAGATTTACCAAGAACTCAAAAGTCCCAGTAGCTAAATCATGTTTTCAGAAATTCATCTGTATTGATTTAAGAACTATGAGTATCTCATCTCTTAGGTTTTGAATGCTGTGTCTTCTTCAAGCCCCTGTAAATGAATACATTTATTGAACATGTGTTAGGTGTAAGGTTCTCTGCTTAACTGCTGGGGGAATATGTATCAGTGTATCAGAGTTGAATGAAAAGCATTTTGGAACCTGAGGAAATGACTAACTTTGCCTACAAGC